ATCTATGTATGAAATGATTAAATCAAGCTAATTAACATAACCACCTTGGTCACTTTTTGTACGTGCTGAAAACTAAAATCTATACTTGAGTTGTCATGGTTTGGATGCATTTTCCTGTCCAAATTTTAGGTGGAAACCTACACTCTAGGTACAAGTATTGAGACCTGTGGTCTAAAAGCAGCTGTTCCGGTCATAGCAGCTCCATTTCATGGATGAGTGAGTGCCACTGAGGAAGGACTTTCGGGACAGTTCTGTCTCCTCTCCTGTCATGTTGATGACATGATTTTCCTTCTCTCAAGGATGCACGTGTCGCCATCTTGGAAGCAGAGAGCCAGATTCTAACTGGCATCTTGATCTTGGATGGCCCATCCTCTAGGACTATATGATGAATCTCTTTCTTTTAAAAATCACCCCATTTGTGGTATTCTGTTACAAAAGTGCCAATAGGCTAGCAACACATTTTTAATCATGGTCACCACACTGTGCAGATCATTATGACTTATCCCTCGGACCTGAAAGTCTGTGCCCTTTGACCTCCATCTGTCCCCAACCCTGCCCTGTCTTGCTGTTCTTGGAAATGAGTGTGCCAAGAAGCCCAGAGCCATGTCCTTCCTACAGTGACTTTGCACAGGCTAGTCTCTTCCTGGAGTGTTCATCCTGAGAGCCGTGGGGTCAGAGCTGACTCTTCGTTCAGATTCACTGTCTTCTCAGGATGGCTCCCCATAGTTATCTCAAGCAAATAACATACCAGCTCCTTTGCCTCTCTATTTGAACCTTTGTTACAGCCCACCACTTTGTGCCATGGGCTGCTTAGGTCCTCCAAACATTCCTGTGTTGAAGTTCTAGAACTTCTTCTTTCAGACATCATCAAGGTCAATGAGGTCGTATGGGTGAGTCCTGATCCAAAATGACTTTGTCCTTATAGGAAGAGGAAATCGGGGCACTGAACAGAGGGGATTCCATGGGACCACACTCTAATGCTGCTCTCTCTGAGCTAAGGAGAAAGACCTCAAGAGACCAACCCTGCCACACTCCTCACCTTGGACTTGCACCAGTACTAAGGAAATGAATTTCTGTGGCAGCCTGTGGTCCTTCTGTTATGGCGGCACTCAAAAATACTGCCTCCTACAGTATTTATCAGCGCTTGCCACTGCAGCGCTTTGCTTTTATTTGCTTATCCCGACTAGACTGTAAGCTCTATGAAGGCAGACTTGATCATCTCATCCATTAATGTGTCCTCAGCAGCAGAATGGTATCCAACACGTGCTCGGATATTCCAGTGTTTGAGTGGCAGGTCCTCTTCTCTGTCACTACTTTCCTGAACTCATATTCACCCTTCTAAGTCACTGTCGTGACAGCCTAGTGGTTCACACATTTGCTTCCCTTCATCCTCTGAAGCCTTACCTTTCCAGCCTTGTTCCTCACACGCCTCCCCGGCCAGGAAGAAATATATATATTTAAATTAGTACATTTATCTATTTTGTGTGCATGGGCTGGGAGTCTGACACTGTGTATATGGAGATCAGAGGACAACATGCTGGCATGGGTTCTCGCCTTCCACCATGTGGGAATCGAACTCATGCCATCAGGCTTGGCAGCAAGTGCCTTTACCTCCCAACCCCCCCCCCCCCCCCCCCCCCGACACAAGCCACCCTTTCAACCCTGAGAACTGTATTTTAAGAAAAGGAAATTCCACTTCTCTGGCCTCTTTCTTTTTTCTTTTTTTTTTTTTTTTTTTTTGGTTTTTCGAGACAGGGTTTCTCTGTGTAGCTTTGCGCCTTTCCTGGGACTCCCTTGGTAGTCCAGGCTGGCCTCGAACTCACAGAGATCCACCTGGCTCTGCCTCCCGAGTGCTGGGATTAAAGGCGTGCGCCACCACCGCCCGGCTCTGGCCTCTTTCTTTACCTTGGCACACTGGACACAGGTCGCCTTTGTCTTCCGATCCTTGCTAATCCGTTTCTGTTGGTCACTTGCACGTAGGAAGCTGGCCATTCATTCTGGGTCTGGTGAGTTATTGTAGTCTACAGCCAAGTGCAGGAATTGGTAGGACTTGGACGTCAGCAAAGATGTCCAGGAAAGTGAGAACTGTCTCCTTGTGTACATGCTCCCCTGTTCACCACTAGGGGGAAGCCTGGAGCAAAGGAAACTGCCAAGGCTGTCCCTGGGTTCAAATTCCGTTTACAAAGACCCTGTTTTTTGTTTGTTTGTTTCCCTTCATGTAAAATGACAATAGTGGTGCATGATTGCTATTTATTCCTCATAACCATGCCTCAGTTGTGAGGATCGACTGAGCAAGCAGAAAGGCCCCCACATGTCTTCTCTCTGTGTCTTCCGGCTTCTCACTACATTTTGCCCATGAGGCTTACCTCTCCCGAGTCCCACCAGCCCTCTGCAAGCGGTGTCCTCCCCGTGACAGCCCTAGGCTGTCTTCATAGCCTGACTCCCTCCCTCAGCTCTGGTGTGACCGAGGGTACATCGTGTAACTTCTGTGAACTTGTGTTTTTCTCTCAACGAGACAGGGGCATTACTATTTGCCTACCGGCCAATTTGGCCTCCTTGTGGGAGGGGAAGGATGGATGTGAAGGTACTTCATCGCTTCCCCTCTGCCCCCAGCCCCAACTCCTTTCTCTGGGGGTGCAAGAACTCTGCTAAAGAATTCCTAGAGATGTCGGCTAAAGGGGGGCAAGTGAAGTAAAGGGTCTCCCGAGGCTTTCGCTCTTCCAGCTCTCCCTGCCTCCTCCCTCAGCTCGGCTGGAGCCGGAAGGCTGTAACTCCACCTGAGACCTAGCTGCTAGAACTTTCTGAGAGCCTCAGTCAAGGCTTGTCTTATTGATCTCTGTTCTGCTGGTCAGTGGAATGGAATAACTGACATTAGATAACCCCAGTCCCTGTTTTGCTGTGGGCAGATTCTCCTTAGCAGTTTCTCTTAGGAAGCAGAAAGGGAACGTCTAGGCAGACAAGGGAACAGAAACCCAAGCCAGAGAGGGGAGCAGAGTCCCCATCCTACCCACTGCTGTCCTCAAGACGCCAGGACCAGGCACCAAGCCTGTTGGGGTCCTAAGAAACTCAAGTCCTCTTAAGTGGTACCTGGCACCCTACTAGGCTAGAGTCGTTTGCGGGGCGCTTTTTGGACCACCTCAGGAGCCCCAAAAGAGGCCTGTGGGAATAAGGGTTTGCAAAGTAAAGGGTCTATTGCTGTGTTTGCTGCATGCCGGGAGTGGGGGTGGGGTGGGAGAGCTGCTAGCCTGGTGTGTCCTGGGGAATGTTTGAGTCCCTTTTCAGCCGGCAGGGAGGGGGATCTCTGGGGAACTGGCTTTGTGCTCTGTTCAGGCCCTGCCCTCTAGTGGCCAAGGGGCTCTGCAAGCCTGGCTGCCCCACTAGCCTCTGAGAACCCAGTTACAAAAAGCTGCCTTCCTCCTTTCTCCCTTTTCTCCCCCTGATTTTTAAGAGGCGGCGTTCGCTGGAGAAGTAGGGGGAGGGGCACAGTCAATACTTGTGAAGCAAAGCTAAACTGAGGCCCGAGAACTGGAGGGGACTGACCTTGGAGTCCTGACTAGTGGGGTTAAAGTCCTCCCCTCTGCCTGTATTGCTGGTATAATTTTGGACAAGTCGGTTAACCTGCCACTGCTAAACTGTATAGGGCTGGGGCGTGGCTCACTGGGGGAGCATGTGCTTAGCGTATACAAGGCCTGGGGTTTGATCCCTAGCACCATAGCTGTATGTATACAAACAGGAGTATCTGTGTATCTTCACTTGTAGAAGGGGCTCGAACATGGTCTCTCCCTCTCGGTATTATCTAAGGGTCACATAGGTTAGGGACGTGACCCACTTCCTAAGAGGAAAAGTGCTATGTGACCAGAAGGCCTGGCCCGTGTTGTCCCAGAGAAGTCTGTGTGCCCCTCCCCGCTCTCCAGAGTCTTCAGGTCACTGTGGGCAGCTAGAGCTCGGTGCTGGCATACCCCCAGGAGGTCCGGTTTCTGTGATGAGCGGTCATGGCGTTCTAGGACTGCATGAGCCACCCACCTACCTTGCTTGGAGTTGACAGCCAGGGACCTGAATTCCAGCCTCGCCACTTTCCTGGGTCCTGGGACCTCGGGCAACTCTGAAATCACTGCAGAGCTTCTGTTGTGTGTTGTAAGGGTGATGATGCTGTCTGCCGAGGGCCGAGTGCGGTGTGTGTGTGTGTGTGTGGGGGGGTGTGTGTTAAGCAGAATTACTGCGGAAGTATTTGCAGTGTTTCAGTTGCTTAAATACAAATTTGGAATCCATAGCTTCTTGAACTGGGGGTTGAAGGAACCCAGGACTTAGCAGCTACTATATGCCCAGACATTGGGTTGCTCCCCATGGCCCTGATTTTGGAGAAGGCAAGTACATAATTTGATATCAGCGATATGGCCTAATTACACCAGCAGACATATGCTGAGGTTGGGTGGTGTTGGTAGAATTGGTTTCTATATTTTGATAGGCAAACAGGGCTTCCCCCTACCCCCACCCCCCAGGGAAGGCTTCTCAGAGAGAAATCAGGATTTGAGAGAGACTAAAAGTCTCAAAGGTAAGGGAAAGATGTAAGGAATCGGCCTACACTGAGTCACTGGAAAGGACAGTATTCATCAGAGAATTAATTTGGAAGGAAATAGGGTGTGAAATAGCAGCAAGGCTTTCAACTCCGGCATTGCGGCCTCAGAAACCCAGTCAGAGCTTCAGAGGCTGCCAAGGCTCAGCCAGGGAGCCACGTCTGGAGAGCAGCTGGGGATGCTCAGAGACCACAAATGGCTGAGCTGGGGAGGAACTGATTGAGTGTGTAATTAAGGGGAGGGCTGTATAACACCCGGGTAAGTAGACCTTGATGGGGTCAGACCAGCAGGGCTTCCGAGAGCTGAAAGAGCGGGCTAGGGCACCGTTAGGAACCGGGAGCCATTGCACCAAGGTGACACAGCTCACGTGGGCCTCACAGGGAGAGGGGTGAGGGGGTGAGGGAGGGGGCGGCCGGAGGAGCGAGTCCTCCCGAGGTCAAAGTGTCGCCGCTTGGTCCTGGGGGCTCAGCTCTAGAAATGAGGTGACATTAGGCAGCAGCGGCAAATCCCATGGAAATGAAAAGTAAGATGGGCCGTGACTGGGCTCAGACCACAGAGGAGGGTGCAGAGTTCATGGGTTCTGAGTCGTGGTCCAGTGCGGCTTGCTGGATGGGAACAGTGGTGTCGAGGACTTCAGGGCGTTGCTTGGAGTGTGAGGGATAGTCTTGGGTCTTGTAGGAGAATCAGCGAGTCTTTCACGGTACAGTCGTTCACAGTGTACTTGTGGACAAGGTAGGTGTAAGTGAGCTGGATGGAGCTGTTCGTCATGTTCTGAACTGGGTGAGTTACTGAAACCCAAATCCCTAGTGTATGAAGCCCCTGCCCAGCCTCATCCCTTACCATACTCTCTTCCCTTCCGAGACCCTGGAAAGTTGACTTCCTGTCACCCAGACCCCATCTGAAAGAGTCTCCTTTCAGACCTTCCCCAGAGAAGTACACACCAATTGGTGGTCCGGTATTCAGTGGTCAGTCCTGAAAACATACATACACGAAACATACAGACCGAGTGAGTTATATTTAGGAATATATATATATGTGTATATATACATATACACATGCAATAACAATTAATCAAAAAAGGAGGCAATGAATTTGAAGGAGAGTAGGGGAGGGTATATGAGAGAGCTTGGAGAGAGGGAAGGGAAGGGAGAGCTGTCATTATTACCTAGTGATCTCAAAATTTAAAAAAAAAAGAAAAAGAAATTCCTTTTTCTTTCTTTCTTTTCTTTTTTTCCTTTTCCTTTTCCTTTTTTCTTTTTCTTTTTTTTTTTTTTTTTTTTTTTTTTTTTGGTTTTTTTCAAGACAGGGTTTCTCTGTGTAGTTTTGGTGCCTGTCCTGGATCTCACTCTGTAGACCAAGCTGACCTCGAACTCACAGATTCACCAGGCTCTGCCTCCCGAGTGCTGGCCAGAAATTCCTTTCTTGAATGTGATAGCATTTGTGTGTGTATCTATGAGTGTGTGCTTATACTTATTTTCACAGATGTGGCAGGAGTGGCTGGGCATCCAGGCTCTGGAGCCAGACTACCTAAGTCAGCTGCCCAGTTGGATAGAGGTTTTGGGGAGCAGTCTGTTCAGTGGGAATCAGTTCTGTGGCACGGTCCTCAGAATTCTAAACATACAGTGGCCTTAGGATCCGTGTGACCTAGAGAAAATTCACTTTTCTGTGCTTCCATGAACTTTATCTATAACCAGGGACCATTGTGGCATTCGCCACGTGAGTTTTTTTTTTTTTTTTTTTTATCAAGAATAAACACAAAGAGCATTTAGAACAATGCCTGTCACACAGGAAACACCCCATAAATGCTTGCATAGGTTTGCTATTGCTGTGTGCTGTCAACCACACTGCTTATAATGTTGACTATACTGGTCTATAATGTACATAGATTATGACCTGGAGCAGAGTGGGGCTCTTAGTACGTAATCTGAATGAATTTAATGCTTCAAGCAGTTATTTCAGTGGTCCTTTGTGCTTTGGAGCAGTGAAAACATTATTTCTTAGGCCTCTAACCCAATGTACATGTTTTTTTTCAATGATTAGCATAAAAACGCAACTTAGTAGAGTTTGAAGTAATCATATTTACCAAAGGCATACCTGGGAGGGATCTTCGAGAGTGACCAGTGTATCAGTGTGTTCATGTGAACCCCATTGTTGGATCCTAGGACTCTGTCTTCGGTCCTCAAAATCAGTTGCTCAGAGTTGACCGAGGTTTTTGTGAGCAACGTGTTCAGTGTGACGTGGTCCTCAGAATTCTAAAGTACAGTGCTCACCCTGGTACCAGGACCAAAGGGCATGATAGTCCAGCTCTACCCTGCACAGCATGCCACATGGCCAGAGAACTCTGCTTAGATCTGAGAGCCAGGTTGAGAGCGGAGCTAGACAAATTCATCAACCAGAGAACCGCCATCAACAGGAGAGAATCAAAGGGACCTAGGCGTACCGAACATATCAAATGTGTGATTTATGTGGGCCTGGAGGACACACTCAGACAAGTACCTACAAGTTACAGGATAGAAAGACTTGAGATCAGTAGAAAGGAAATCTTTGAAATAATCAGAGCTGTGCATGGATGAATTGGGCCACCTCAGAGGGTGGTGTCCCTGGAGGACTGTGAGCTTACGCTGGCATCTAGCCAGAGTCACACCCTGGCCAGTGTCTGCTTACTCTGAGAGTCTGTGGTTCTGAGATTTCATGGCGTCCTTCATCCTCCTGGATGATCTGAGTCACAGGCTTCATTTTGCTTTTCATGTGGTCGGGAACAAGGTTTGGTCCTCTAATCTGATGATTCTAAACATTAAAGAGGGAACAGAGACCTGCTTGAGAATCTGGTGACCCTGCTCTGACCCCACAGACAGTGCCTCTGCAGCCCCACTTGGGGACTGGCCGGGCTTTGGGACCGCAGGGAGTAAACACTAGCCTGGGGGTACACCGTCTGGTCACTTCCTCACCGACCTACCCTGGGATGTCCGCTCTGATACCCCTTTCTTTCTTCGGGGCCTTGCAGTACGGTCTCTCAGCACCCCAAGCATCAATAGGCCTTTGAAATCAGGCCTCTGAAAAAAGAGGCGCAGTTTGGCTCCAGCTAGAACCTTAGGGCTGGAACTGAATGTGGACTACAGAACCAGGTGTCACTAAGGGTGCCGTGAAGGCGTCAGGGGAGGCGACTCTCAGTGGGGTGTGCTGTTGTTTCTCCCTCACCCTGCCTCTGTTTAAAAACTTTAATAATAACTGCATTTAAGTGCTTAGAAAAACTCACTTTTATTCTATGTGCAGACATATTTCTCTGACCAAATAGCTAATATGGTTAATATCATTTGCTTTAAAAAAAATTTGTTTTTCTCTAACACATTTTCACACAGTTTAGACAAGTGACCGTTTCCCTCTCCCCAGGCTCCTAAGGTCAAAGCCCCTTGGGAAATACCATTATCAGGCAGCGTCTTCTTGCTCCGTTTATTAAGACAGGGACAGCTGTTTTCTTTGTCTACCAATGTTTTTCTCAAGATCTTAAATTGCCGCCTTCAGCCCAGGCTGCTCAGCTGACCTTCATTTGTCCTTCGAGTGGTCCAGAGCCCTTTTAGGGCAGATGTTGAGCAATCTGACCTGATTCGCCGGGTGTCCCAGCTTCTCCATGCTGGGCTTGTCAGGAATGCTGTGTCCTTTGTCACCCCTGGGTCCCATCATAAGGTAGAAGACCACCAGGAGGCACAGCATTGAAAAGGATAGATGCATTGCTGTCCCAGAGAACGGTTCTCACAAAGCAGAAGTGGACTGTAGGTGTGTGTGTGTGTGTGTGTGTGTGTGTGTGTGTGTGTGTGTAAGAGACAAGGGGATGCAGCTGTGAGTCTTTGAACTCACTGCTGCAGCCACTTCAGATCTTGTCTTGGCATTGAAAGCTCTGAGGTGACTCAGAAACGCTCAGATAAACTCTCACTGAGCCCATGCACCTGCGTTATCTGACATCAATTTCACAAACTATCTTTGCCATCAAGCACCCAGGGAGGCAGGAACAGGCTTGAGAGTCCGTCGTCGTCGTCGGTGCGGGCTGGATTTTCCCCACACCTTCCTGCACTCTGTCCTCTGGGATGGGCTTCCCCTTGGCGTTGCCTCCTTTACCTCAAGTGGCACCTGCTCCTTTTTGCCGTCTGGGATCTTCCACCCCACACCCAGATTCCTCCCCTGCGTCTGTGACTTCTCTGCCATGGACGGCAGGAATTCTCTTATCTGAGCTTCCTCACTCAGCGGGTTCCTTCTTTTCTGTCTTCAAACAGTATTTCCGTGACCTCACACGTCGCCTACTTCTGTTTTCCTTTCTTTCTCTACTTCTGTTGCCTAGGGCTGACCGCCAAACCTACGAGTCCACATAATGTGCAGAGCATGTCCACACATTCGGGCATACACTCATGCGCACGCACATGCACACACGTGCACACACACACACACACACACACACACACACACACACACACACGCACATGCGCGCACGCACGCACGCAGGCACATGATTACAATTCATTGTGTTTCCTTGAGGATGTTGTCCTCTAGTCAACTGGGGCTGATCACTATGAAGATTGCCTGCCTACTGAAAATTAAGTCCTTCTTTCCA